TATTTCAGCATTTCTTCCGCCTTGGTGCACAAATTAGAGGACTGCACGGGCCCGGGCCAGCCCGAAGGCCCGAGCCGGGCCGGGCCGGGCTCGGGCCGGGTAGCACAAATTTCCTCGGTTCCGGGCCGCTCTCGGGCCTGACAAAAAAGTTGTCGGGCCGTTTCAGCCTGCGTCGGCCCGGGCCGTGGTTAGGCCGTCGTGTGCCGCAAATTCTAAATTGTTAATAACAAGAACTTTGCTCATTGGTCGTTTCAGGTTCAATAAAAACAAACGAGCGGAATAAATAAATCGCTACAACGCCGTTAAAAAAAAAAAAAAAGACGTTTTGCATTTGGAAAGTTTTCAGGTGGATAAAAGGAAACGTATATGACTCCACCAGCCTAGTGGGAAAGTGCGGTCAAGAAAACGAGGGCACTCCAATCGCAGGGTACAACATGAGTGTCTGTTCTCTCTGCTTTTCATACAAAAAAAAATCACGGGACCTTTATTTTTTTACTTTGTGGAGGGGGCCTTACTATGCCCCCAAAAGATCAGCTAACTGCCATAGATAATTTTATGCTTATAGAGCCTTTTCAGGATGCACTAGCGTGATTGTGATTGTTTCTTCACAAAACCCGTAGAGAGGTAACTTCTCTGTGACTCGAATAGAACAACGAAAAGTCCAATATCTCTTTAAGAAATTCATACAGTAAATAAAATATTGCGCACTTTTGTCTTCGCGTATATACGAAGTGCACATTTCGCCTATTGTCTCCAAAATACATCGTCTATTTTATCGTGGCAGTTTATTATGTAAATAAAAATTAGTCCAAGTTTTTAAGAAAAAATTATGCTTAGAAATGTTTAGGTTAAAACCTGCAAACCTTTTCGGGCTCAGATATATAATCTATCTGGCTCGGGCCGGGCTCAGGCTTATATTAGAAAAGATTTTGTCGGGCTCGGGCTGGGCTCAAGCTCCTGTCTAAAAATTCTGGCGGGCCCGGGCCGGGTACGGGCAGTTGCTCTTCCGGGCCAGGTCGGGCCCGGCCTTGAAAGTAAATATTTAGTCGGGCTCGGGCCGGGCCCGGGCCGTGCCTCTACCGGGCCGGGTGGGGCCGGGCCTAGAAATTCCGGCCCGTGCAGTGCTGTAGCGCAAATTACACAGCAGTGCTCACATGACATCTGACCACAAAAATATATGATCCGCTAAACCTAAAACAGTATGTTGGAGCTACCAGAAAGCACCGGCAACTGCTGTTACTATCTCCACATTTAGAAGCTTTACGCCCATAAGGGTGCTAAAAGGTTGTTATCAATGTATACTTAGAGTCTTGGATGCATAATTTTAGACCTTACTTTGAGTACTACACCCTTTTGAATAGTACAATATTATGCTTTTGCATGGAGCACCTTTCGTTTTGATGTGCGTACAAAGGGTATAAGAAAGTGCGCTGCGATAAATTGAAGGGCCAACACCGTTTTCAAAGCTGCTTGCCTTTTAGTCGCAACTTTGGCGGAAGTTTTGTTCATCGAATATATGTGGTACACATCGCCTTATCCTTTTTTTTTTCAATTGTCAGGTATATAAGTTGAAGTTGTCTATGGGGTCATGATTCCTCTCTTTTGCTTAATTTACTGCGTCTTATTTGCCTTTTCTGAGCATGCGAAAAATGCATATGGTGCTTGTTACTTGTAAATGGTTTGCTCGTAAAAATATTCATTCGGTGCTGCTAGGATCGCCAGCGTCCTGCTTTTTGATGTTCACTTGCAGTCGGAGGGTGTTGCAGCAATACCTTAGTGTACGCCCAGAGACGAGTCCCAAATACTGCTAGTTTCATTTTTTTTTATGTCCTATGCATTAGATTATTGTGTTACATTTTATGCACTTCTCGATGTATAAAAATACAATGGCGAGTTGTAAAATATGCATTATTTTCTTTTTATTTGAACCCTTTGAAGTTGTTGTATAGTCAATGCAAAAGTGAGAAGGGCAGGGTGTTCATTTTTTGACCGCCCAGCCTGCAGCATGTACTCCATGCCTTTCGCCGTTCTTTGCTTGCGGTCGACTATGCACAAGGGGCCGAAGCGTTGTCAAAGGTGCGAAGCTCACGCTGGAGGCGCGACGGCTGAAGCTCCACCCTGCCGTTATCACCTTGTCAGTGAATATAGCAGAGTCAAAGCAACCTACAAAATTGTGTATTAGACATCAAGTTTGAGCTTTTTCCGTCAGAATCAGTAAAATAATTTCTACTTTTTCTTTTACTGTATGAAATGAACAAAAAAAGAAAGGGAAGTTGTGAGAAAAGATTGTCAAATTCAAACTTGTAGCTTTCTTGTTAAAACACTCCCTTGTCATAGAATAAATAGAAGCAAAACACCGGCAGACCATAAATTTGACAAGGTACTATTAGTCGTATTCTTATAGAGTCGTAGTTTAACCCAGCGTATGTTTTAAAGAGGAGAGGCGTAAGGCACTCCTTTTCTTTTTTTTTGCAAACATTGTCAACATAAGTATTACGGGAATTTTCAGAACGGTTGGCGTGTAATTCCCTGGCAGTAACAGTGCAAGCGTGGTGGTGTTACGTGCCACATCCACGGAGGGCATCTGGCACGCCCCAGCAAAGAACTGAAAATTTGTCTCTACCACCTGGGGATCTCTTCACGCGAAACAGAAAGCTCGGGTACATAGCGCACTTTCCGCAATTAGCCTCCGTCAGATCGCGGGTCCCTTGGCCGAGACTCGAATACGCTAAGCAAAGATCCGAAAGAGAGCGCTTTGCTTCGTAGCCATCGCGGTGCGTGACGGAGGTCGACAGTGAATTCGGAAGTGTACGCGAGATGTCGAATTCCTGGTGTAGAATAAGCTTTGTGGCTACCGTTAAACGCATACGACAGCGGCTTGTGGCCGGTGAGGACGCAGAGTTTTCTTCCTTCGTTAAAGGTTAAAGTAGCTGTAATTCCTAACAGTTAGGTATAGAGCCAGCACCTCTCGCCCGAAAGTGCAGTAGCGAGCTTCTTGTAACTTTAGATTCCGCGGGAAAAATATCCATGTACTTCCAGTCGCCGTCTAAACGCTGTTGTTGTACAGCACCGAGAGTGGTGTCCGAGGCCTTAGGGCTCATTCACACTGGAAGCGGATCCGCGCGTTCGCAAAGCGGTTGCGAACGCGGTTGTATAAGGATTCAGTACAATTGCACGCGCACACGATGACATCAAATGCGCGTGCAATTGCACTGGATCTTTATACAACCGCTTTCGCAACCGCTTCGCGAACGCGGATCCGCTTCCAGTGTGAATGGGGGGTTAGTCATGCAGCGAGTGGGAGCATCAGGGCGTGGGTGTGTAAAAAGCGTCGCATTGCCAGCGATTTTTCCATGGAAATGCTGTCTCAGCGCGGTCGTTCTAAGAAAAGGGTGATTGATGGTCTTTTGTGGTCTTCAGCAACTCCGCTAATGGTTGTATCAAGCCGCCACAATGGGATATAAACATCTGTTTGACGTTCACCAGGCCTAGAAACTCTTGAAGCTTTCGACAAGAACCTCACTGAGGAAATTCACAAATGGCTTGGACTTTTTCGGAAAGGGAATCATACACTAGTTTAGGTTGATGACAATGCCAGCCTGTTCAAGTCGGTCGAACAGGAGATGGAGATGCTGCTCATGTTCAGCCGTGGTTAAGCTGACTACGAGGATGTCATCGACGTAGGCGAAGATAAAATGCAGTGCTCTCGTGATCTCACCGATCAATTGCTGAAGTATCTACTCCGAGGCCAAAAGGAATTCGTACATATTCAATAATACCGATCAGGGCGGCGATAGCTGTTTGAGGAACGTCGTAAGGCGCAACACCTGCTAAATCTAAGCCGCAATCGATTGCTAACCTTTAGAATCACCATAATCATACGTTTTGATGCTCAATCACTAAGACACGGTCTCATGTAATGTTCAAATTGCCGCTACCAGTCGAATGTAATTGTAGAACCAATGCATTTGGCTTATACCACAAGCTTACATTAAGTTTCTTTTTGATCCGGCGGAGAGCATGCGGCTTTCATGGTGAATGTACTGTTGTGACCGCGATCTCCCTCTTTCTTTCGACCGAACTCATTCAATACACAATTTGGTGCCCTTCTCATTTCGGGAGCACACGCAGTGTTTCTAAAGATTATTGCAACATATTGCAGGCGCGGCGCCTCACTGGTGCCCCATGTGTCAATGCATGTGCAGCGTGCGCGCGAACGTAGCTTCGGCAAGCTTGCAATTGCACGCACTGCCCCGCACAAGCAGAGACATAGTGGCGGCCAGGTTCCCTTCTTGCAATCGTCTCTATATAGCTTCCATGTGACGTCATTCGCGATTATGCCAGTATTTTAGGCGCTGCGAGCGTTCAGTTTTTCATGAACTTTTCCCACCGCAGAGGCTCCAGTTCAAAGAAACCAGTGAGTAGAAATAACCTCAGTACCCAGCAATGGCGACCCTGCTAAGCCATGTATAGTCGGGGAACGTTAGGCATGCCATGGAAGCCCCGCTTCCAGCGCGAGTTGACGGCCTTCGGTAAGACTTCGGAGAGTCGTGAGCACGCGCACGAGGTGGAGCTTCCACTGCATTTTTAATCCATCACTGACTACTTGATGGCCGCCATTTTAACATGCCTGAAAGATGAAAGAACTTGGTTCAAATATATTTCGGTCCCTTCGGCTGTTCTGAAGAAAAAAAGTCCCTTTGGAGTTGTTCTTTATACTTCGTTTCATTTTACGTCCGGACGCAGCAACGCTACAAGCTTATGGGACCAATCAAACAGCGTCAAAAGCGCGCAAGTATCGTGTTAATTATGTTTGTGTACGTGTTCGAGTATCGCTGAATCAATCATGTACATAGAAGGACCAGTGCCTTGCGTTTTTGCCGCTGTTTGGTTAATCTCAGCAGCTGGCAGCGTCGGTTGCATGTGTACCTCAGGTGAAACGAAGTATAGCAGACATTTTCAAAAACGTGGTGAGACACTAAGCCTGAAAAGGTTCTTACCTCTGAACAAGGAATGTAAATGGGCGTCGACATTCAGAAGATGGCACGCTTCTTTCAGGTTGTCGAACTCGTCGCAGTATGCTGCGGCACAAACGGCACTTCGTTACTAACGACTTCGTATACTTTTAAAAATATGTGAGCGCCTAGTGTTTTTTCAGTGGAGGAAAGAGGATCACCGTATTGTACAGAGGAATTACACAAAATGACAAGCATCAAAAAGTAATTAAACTCGAAATCGCAATTGACAAAATGTCAGTGAGGAAGAGAAACGCAATGCTCATTGTCTTTAAGCAGCCAGGCTGCTTGTTGTTGTATCCGTTACAGTCATTAACTCATTCACTGAGTCGTCCACCGTCATTAACTGGAAGCGCTCTGCAGTGATCAAATAGTCCATCGGAAGATCTAGGGGTAAGAAAAGGCGCAGTCATCACGTCATTATGAGGCTACAATGTACGCGATTTTCGTGTGGAGATAAAACAGACACTTACTTTCTCTGTACTGGAGGACATTATGATGCTTTTGGTAGATGGCAACGCAGCGAAAACACCTCTCGCGGCTGCAAGAAAGAAAAAGAAACACACATTAAAAAGCCGCACAAACCAAAAATCAGTAATACTTTCGTAGATTGGCATTTGGGCTCCAGAAAACAAAAGTTCGCAGTCCGGAAATTTCTTCTAAGCACGTTTCAAATAAAGGTTATGGAAATTGCTTCTCATGGTTTAGATTTCCTGGAGCTATCCGAACATCGCCGTGACGTCACACACGCCTGGCATTCTTTTCCGTACCACTTTCTTTTTTTTTCTGCGCTTGAGCGCTTCGAACTTGCAGTGAGGAGTCTACAACCAAAACAATATGGAAAGAGTACACTCAAAACACGAGACGTCATTAAGATCTACTCACGCAACGGCATCTGATGTTTACGAAATGAAACAGTGGTTAACATAAGTTTCACGACTCAATCTTCAAAAACAGTTTACTCCATATTTTCCTCGGAGGTGTCGGCATTGACGGCTTTATTTTATATAAACAATAGCAGTTGAACTTCAGAACGCGTGGTTGGTCGCTCAGGAGAATGGGTATCGTCCTTTGGGACGTTAAAAAAATGTAGCCTTTGAAACCAATATTCTTAAGCCGCAGTCAGGCTGTTCATGTAATGTACGAAACACACGAAGTTTATCTGCATAAATGATGATAAAACTGTCTGTGGAGACGCCTGAAGCGTGTTCAAAGCATATTTGGTTCATGCACAAGTTTGGAGACGTCGGCAGACAGTTTTTGAATGACCAGTTTGGCAGGACCGCTATGCAAACAAGAAACACGCATCATATAGCGTCGGCGCACTGTCTTGTATGTGATATATTAGTAATGTGACCACGGCTCTGAACTTGACGGGCGTACGGTGTCAAAATCAACGACGCGCATAGTTGTTCCAATGACAATAGAAAGATTAAACGTGTCTACTATATCAACGAAACTCGAACAAACAGCGATGGACGCTTGCGCCTTGTATGTAGAAACATGACTCGTAGTAAAAGCACCTACCGACCGTTTTCGTCATGCATATTGAAAGTAACAAGATAACCCTAACCCTAAAAAAGTCTGGCAAACTTACACCAGCTTGCATTCACCCTGACTGTTTCTTTCTATAAACTATGAATGCGGATAATATTATTCGGTGTGCATTGTATATTTATTTTTTCCGCATATTTATTTTTACCAAACAACGGCCTTCACCCTGACCGTTGTTTGGTACTGTAGTTCTGTAGCTCATGCGTAACTTGATTCGCTTCAAATTAGTGGCTAGTGTAAGGCTTTAATTGAAATACTTCAAAAGTAGCGTGTGCGGACCTCTTGATGTACAAGTTAGCAACCAAGTCATCCCCGTTTTTCGCTCTTTTTCTTTCACTACTAAACAACCGTCATCAAAACTACTGTAGTAGTGGAAAGTGCTCAGTTTGAGCACTGAACTCAGTGCCAAATTTTGATGTCTGCCAGCACCCCCTGGAAGTGAAATCCGGAAAAGCGCCGAAACCGTGTTGGCGCCGACAGCATCCCGCAGTGTAGAATAAAATCACTTATACCTCTTCAACATTCTAAGAAATTGAAACAAGAGGATGAATAAAATAGACAAAATACGCCATTATGTTTTGTCTTTTATGCTTTATTTCCAACTGATTTATTCTGCTGTCAGCTTCTCGGCAGGGGGAAACGTGTACACATATCTCCTTATCTGAAAGGATCGTTATCTTTTCAGGAAAACTGCCGAAATCGAGGTTTGTTGAATGAGAGGTCACGCTTTCATTGAATGTATGAACCTTTGTTTTTCTGTAAGGAATGCAAACCAAAAGATATATCCGTATTATACAGAGTTCTAGTGTGTGTCTAAGTACCCCGCAAAACGGTCGACTAGTTTTTCACTGCGATGTACAGCCTGACCTTTACAAAATACTAAACGAAACGAAAATATATTTCTGCTTCCACATAAGGTACTAATGTCACAATTCACTGAAATGCTTGCATCTACTCGGGAGCATAACGCCGACCTAATTTTTAGGCCAACGCTGACGATGAGTTTTCGCTTTTGCAGCGTGAGCTACACTGGCCGAGGTTGAGCAGTTTTGCGTGGCTCGCATAATGAACCGTGATCCGTGCTGCGCAATCGAGAGGAGCAGTGACGTCACACGGCGCACAGCGGCGGGGTGGAGCCGCCCAACACCTCCTAGAAGACAAGGCCATAGCGCTCCGAGTGGTTACGTCACAATGGCGGAGGAAGGAAGGCCATCGCGCAACTACGTGAGAAAAACCATCGAGCATCGACGTGAGAAAACGCCCATCTCGAGCGGTGCGGTGCGGTGGGCCGGCGCGCCGGCGTCGCTGGCGTGGCTGGCGTCGCGCGGAGTGGCACTGAACGCGCATGCTCCAGCCAGCTCCCGCTGCTCCCGCGTTCAAACTTTTCCGTTGCAGTTAGTTTTGTTTCGTGTGCTCGCCGTGCTCGCCTCGTGAGTGCCTCGTCTCGTGTCCGTAAACTGTCCGCGCGCGCGCGCGAACGTTTGTTTGGTCGGCATGCCGAACAAGTGCTGCGTTCCGGGTTGTCGGGGAAACTACAAGAACTCCGAAACAGTGCACATCTTCAAATTTCTCGAAGACGGCGACCAGCGGCGGTCGTGGATACGAGCCATTCCCCGGGAGAATCTCGTTGTCTCGCGACACTCCAGGGTGAGAACTTCCCCACTGTTTCGAATTGCCGTTTCTCTTGCACAGTTTCGTCAGCTTTCTGAGGTTCTCGAGTTCCCCTCCATGTTACCAGTTGTGTGCAGCGCTATACTCCGTTCACCCTTAAGCTGAGGCTAGAAGTTTCGCTTTCAGCACGACCTCGCTGGCTTCCGCAGTGCTTTGGTTGCGCTTTCCTGTGCGTTCACACTTGTGTTAGCAAGTGCAGAAAGCTCGCGCTGAAGGCGGAACTTCTAGTCTCAGCTTTAGGGTGAAAGGAGTATAGATCAAAGTCAGTTGACGAGCTTCCTAGAACGCCGTAAGATTAATGTTTGCACGAGCGTTTGTGCAAGGAAGACATTTCCTAAAGCCACGTGCTCGCGTTCACAAAAAACGCTACAAGCAGCGCTGGCAAAGACGTGCTGCCTTTGCCAGCGCTGCACGAAACTTGTGAGTCGGAGTTTAATTCTGAAGGCATGCGTCGTGCGTTTTTGGTGCTCAGCGCCCGTTGACAGTAGCGTTCGATGACGTTAAACAGCTTGCCTCGAGGACGAGAATACGGCCGGTAGCTGAGAGTCTGTCCAAACAGAGCACGCGTTGCGCGTGAAATTGCTCTCGCAGGCCCATACTTATATCTCGTTTCGGCAACCAGAAGTTTTCCCCAAAGTTTGGACGCTGTAGAGCGTTTAAAAGAAGTTGTAGGCTTGTAATAAGCGTCATATATGCCCGCGTAAAAATCGTGCATGTGAAAAATGGTCACATGCGTGTCTGCGTAATATAGATTTATTGGACATCTCTTCGTTACGTGATCCGTGGGACCAATTAAAGAGATGCTGACAAGTAGCTGTTATTTATACAAAGGCAACATTTTTTTCCAGGTGTGCGAGCTCCATTTTGCTAACAGCGACATTCTTCGAGTGACATCGCATACCGATGCTGCTACAGGGTGCACCGTAACGGTACCCTTACAGTACCCTCGACTCCGCCAAGGTGCTGTGCCGCACAAATTCCGCAACTGCCCCAACTACTTGTCGACTACTGATGTAAATGTGAGAGAAGATCCAGAGGCCAGAAGAGTACGCCTGGAAGCCGATGCTCTCCAAACTGCAGTTGCAGAATCTATGGACCTGTTCCAAGCTGAGGAGGAGGCCGATAGGATTCTCGGCATAAAAGATGTAACTGACTACTTAAGAAGCAAGAAGTCTGGATTTTGGCATGTTATAGAAAGCAACAATTGCCTAATTTTGGTGCACATTGTTCACAATGAAGCACCATGGATCAAGTATTCAATTGTCGTGAATGCTGATTTGCGTCTTACATTCCACGTTGGGAAAACGGCGACCAAGAGACTAGGATCCAGTTTACAGATTCCTGCTAGCGTCAACAGCAAGAAGGCACTAATCAAGCTCCTAGAGAGCATTGAATTGTGGGACGACAGCTTAAGCACCCGGGATGCAGATGAGGACATATTCGAGACCGTTCATCTGCTACTTGGCCAGTTGTCCACGACACCAGCAGAGGACAAAGTCCATGCCATTCAGTTCCTCAACGAGCAGTTGGCGCTACTATCGAAGAAGAAGGAGCAAAGACGTTACTCAGTCGACTTCATGATTTTTTGTTGTATTTTTTTACAATATCTCCTCATGCTTACAAGTATGTCCGCAGCAGTGGTAATATTTTAGAGCGCAGCTCTTAGGGGCCCGTTTCCGGCTTGAGCGGCGTCGCCGTCGGCGTCGGCGTCGCCGTCGCCGTCGCCGTTGCCGTCGGCGTAACCGCGCGGTGCATCATGGGAAATGTCCCATAATGCACCGCGCGAGCCCCCCACCAAGGTCACGTGACCTCGTGGGGGGTCACGTGACCCCCCGAAGTCACGTGACTCCCCTGAGGTCACGTGGCCCCCTCCTCGAGGTCACGTGACCCCCGCCGATGTCGCGTGACCCCCCGATGACGTCATCGTCACTGATGACGTCACCGGCATCCACATCGTCATCGTCATCATCACTGATGACGTCACCGGCATCCACATCGTCATCGTCATCATCACTGATGACGTCACCGGCATCCACATCGTCATCGTCATCACTGATGACGTCACCGGCATCCGCATCGTCATCGTCATCACTGATGACGTCACCGGCATCCGCATCGTCATCGTCATCATCACTGATGACGTCACCGGCATCCACATCGTCATCGTCATCATCACTGATGACGTCACCGGCATCCACATCGCCATCGTCATCATCACTGATGACGTCACCGGCATCCGCATCGTCATCATCACTGATGACGTCACCGGCATCCACATCGTCATCGTCATCATCACTGATGACGTCACCGGCATCC